TTTAATCAATGACGTCGCTTAATCTCCTCGATGATGGAACTTTTTTTTTCCTTTTTAAGTGTCCAGGTTTTTCTTGTCTAATAGTAATTACTGTATTTCATATATACTACAATGTCGGAGAGCCATGAGGCTAGCCCCCATCCTTATTCATATATTTTCTTTGTTATTAGTTATTACTATATGTTGCTCCATTTGTTTTGAATTTTGCTCTCTTATTTCCTTGTAATCGTGCTTCAACTTCCACTTTTCTTTTGAGCCTATTGTCTATCAGGAACAACCTCTATTCCCCATAAATGTTTTATGGGAGGGGTAAGGTCTACATTTTACCCTCCCCAGGCCCCACTTTGTGGGATTGCACTGGGTATGCTGTTGTTGTTTTAACTTTTATATTTGATGCTTCCTACTTATAGAGTAAGATAGTCAAGTAGATATTCATTATGTTTAGAAATGGAGAGCACACCAGAAAAGTTTACCTGCTTTTCATGTCAGTATCATTTACTAATATATATTTAACATTCTGATGACTTTGACAGAATGGAGATGCAAGGAATCCGGTAGATGTAAAACCTCGAATAAATGAAGAGCCTAATGACAAATCGAAGATATGGAAGCTCACTGAAATTAGTGAATCATCACAGTGCCGGTCCTTGAAGCTGCCTGAGAACCTCAGAGTGACTAAGGTAAAAATTCCCATGTCTCTTGATTCATGAAATATCTGAATGTATTTGTTATCTCATTTTCAAGATTTGGGAACTTTTCCGTTGAACATATAAAGTGATGCACGTTAAGCCATAGCTCATCCTCTTTCAGGTTTTAAGGTTGGAAACTTAAATGTTTCTCTCGAAGTCTTTGTGCATAGTTTGACATGATCAAGGCGTGTGCCATCCTGAACATGCCATCAGCAAATGAATGAACCATATTGATCTAGCTGTGCTTTTCTTTTTATATGAAGATATGAGTTTGCCTCCTGTTTGGGAGGGAAGGGCTCTTAGTTTCGCGTTGTCACTTTTCTCTATCTTTGTCACTGGTCTCTTTCTTCGCTAATAGATTGTTCAACTTATATAGTAAAGAAGAGTGGACAGAAGTATCACTTTCTGTACCTTAAGAGTTCCTTCTGTCTTTATCCTTCAAGATTGTCTAGATCAGTGCAACAAGTCTCTAGAGTTTGTGTGCAATGATTTGACAACTTTAATAGTGTCCAACTTTGGGCTAGCAATAGTAACTAAACGTCTGCTTGGTATTTCAAGTTCACGTCTTAAGTGCTTTCTACTGATTGTAACTGTGTTCCTTCCCCCACAATTTGGAAGCTGCTGTTTCAATATGTTTCAACTGTATTAGTTTTGATGATACAGTTTCTGATTCTGATTCAATATGGATACTCCAGATATCAAGATTAATATATACAAATTCTGGTAATGCCGTCTTAGCATTAGCATCAAATGCTATTCACTTGCTTTGGAAGTGGCAAAGGAATGAACGCAATACAAGTGGCAAGGTAAATAGATACCAAAATCGTTGCTTTCCTCCATTTTGTACAGAAGTATTATGAGAATTGTGTCCATCATTGTTTAGGCAACAGCCAGTGTTTCACCTCAATTGTGGCAACCTTCAAGTGGCATATTAATGACAAATGATGTGCATGAACCAAACCATGAGGAAGCTGTCTCCTGCTTTGCCTTGTCCAAGAATGACTCGTATGTGATGTCAGCATCTGGTGGAAAGATATCCTTGTTCAACATGATGACATTCAAGGTATAACAATATTGCCTTCTGTTTTTTTTTAGCCTTTACTCAAAGAGCCTGTGCTGAATTATTATCTTATGGATGCAGACAATGACAACTTTCATGCCTCCACCTCCAGCAGCAACTTTTCTTGCATTTCATCCTCAAGATAACAATATTATTGCTATTGGCATGGATGATTCTACCATCCAGATATATAATGTCCGAGTGGATGAGGTAAAATAAAGATAAACAAGAAGTTTTTATTGTTATTGGCAGTCAGCAGATTTTAATGTTTTTGGGTCAGTTACCATATTGTTATTGACTAGACGCGAGTCTCTTGGTGAAGGTTAAAAGCAAGCTTAAAGGCCACTCTAAAAGGATAACTGGCCTCGCCTTTTCTCATGTGCTCAATGTGCTAGTTTCATCAGGAGCTGATTCTCAGGTAGACTTGTATACTCTTAGCTCTCATGTAGTATTTGACTTACTTCTCAGTGTTTTGTTTAACTGTTATCCTGATTAATGTTAAAAATACATTTGTATGATAGATTGCACTCTCTCTTCTTATGATTTTGCATATAGTGCATCATACACTTCATCACATTCAATGCTTAAGCCAATCAACTAGGTATGAGAATTAGAAGTTCTTTCAGTGCATGTGATATTTGATGGTGATAAATATCTAAAGGTATATGAAGAATAAGATCATTTCATGCTCTAAATAAAAGCTGAATGAATTCCGATTGTTTTAATATTTTCAAAATACGTGAAGTTGTTGCTTTAGAAGTGTTCCAAGCTTTTTAAAATATACCAAAATCGAAAATATATAGCCTACAGATGAGTCCAGTATATTGCAGTTCTCTCCTTTTGCATAATCTCTTCTCTGTAGTCATGATTAGTTTTTTTGGGCATTTTTAATGTCTTTTGTTGGTGATAAATGCTTAGCCTTAATACATCTCAAATGATCATTAATCTATATAAAGTTACATTCTGCATTTCTGACACTCTTTAAAGTGGTAATTTATAATCCTGTGTTCATATCCTTTTGTATTCATCAACATTATTTGCTTTTGTACAGCTGTGTGTGTGGAGCACTGATGGATGGGAAAAGCAGAGGGCTAGGACCTTGCAGCTACCGGGTAGATCGACATCTCAATCAGATACCAGAGTGCAGTTTCATCAGGATCAAACTCATTTCCTGGCTGTGCATGAGGCACAGATTGCTATATTTGAAACAACAAAGCTGGAATGTTTAAAGCAGGTAAGTCCTCTCCCCAACTGCAGTTGGTTATTAACTGCCTTCAGATCTCAACAACTAATACACTATATCTTCTTCTGCAGTGGGTTCCACGTGAGAGTGCTGCCCCAATTTCTCATGCCACATTCTCGTGTGATAGCCAGCTGATATATGCCAGTTTCTTGGATGCAACTGTGTGCGTATTCACTGCAGGGCACCTCCATATGCGATGCCGCATTATTCCTTCAGCTTATCTATCACCCAGTATTAGGTATTTTTGATGCCTGCTAAGTTATTTACTGCTTTAATTTGAAGATATTCTGCAGTCCATTATTGAAGACAAAAAACATCGTCTTTCTTTTAGTTATAGTTCCATGCGCTAGAATAGTTAAATTGGTATCAGAACAATATCGAGGCCTAAGTGCGACACATCACCAAAAGGGGGGGGGGGCACCCATAGGTTGGCTATTTGTACAAGATATCATTGACCAATGCATGGGCTATGTAGGATGTAACATACACTTTATGCATACTAGAGGACTACAATATTCACTATCCTAGATCATCTTTCTTTTTTAAAAAAATTGAGATGAATATTTCAAAATAATTTATTTTGCAATCATGTTATTATGGTAAAGTGGGGTATCTGATTGCCAGGATTAGCATTTCTAGTATTTCCGGAATATCCCTCAGAATATTATGTTTCAGATGTTTAATTTTTGCAACTTCTCTGTATTCCCCTGTCCATACATTACGTAATTTTTGTGTCTAATATTCTCAGGAAGTCATGTGAGGATACAAAGTTGACCAAACAGATTTCATTTCTGATATTTGATGTAATTTTTCATAAAACCTTGTCATTTTTCTGCAGCAATTCAAACATCCACCCAGTCGTAGTTGCAGCACATCCACAAGATCCAAACCAGTTTGCATTAGGTCTGTCAGATGGTAGTGTTCATGTTTTTGAACCACTTGAATCTGAAGGCAAATGGGGAGTCCCTCCACCACTTGAAAATGGATCAACAAATGGTATGCCCACCGCTCCATCTATTGGAGCTTCAGGCTCCGATCAAGCACCAAGATGACAAAGAAGCCTCTAAGCAAACAATGTTGTGTCCTGTTTTGTTGAATCTTACCCAAATTTCAGATCAAACTGACGAGTAAATGTTCGTTCTAGGAGACTAACCAGAATCCTCCAAGTCAAAATATGAAGTGTATGTAACACCCCAAAGATTTGTTTTTCTTTGCAATCGGAAGGGAAGGTTTGTCTTCAGTGGAGCTAGGAGTCTCAGTACTAGTCACAGCTTAAGATTTGACTTGTTTTTTACACCAATGTTGTGGCTTTCGTTTGTGGTAATCTATTAGCTAGAGAGGACATAATTTAGCTCAGTACTCTCCAACATGTAAATTTCCAACTTATGAGGTAAGATGTAATGTAAAATGAACACTTCACTCTTTATATTCCTTAGTGTAGTGAGGAATTCCTTCTATCAGCTTTTTATTTCGTATGATTCTTGAATTGGATTTTGGCAAGTCTCACCTCTTTAAGGTTCAACTTATTATGAACAACGAACTGTACATGTTGTTTCTTTAATACCCAGCGACTCTCATTACAGTTGTTTCTTTAATATCCAATGGACATTACCATACTAGTTTGATGTTTTTGGCATTTGAATCTTATGATATGAATGCATATACATCCCGATGATAGATGAATGTGCACGACATAAAGTATTCATCCAAAAAGCAACAGAAATGGTACAAAAGTTAAAGAGTTTTCATGAAATAATCAATTCATTTCCGTATCTGAATCTTATGCTTAGTTTGGAGGGTTGTTATTATATTGTGTTTTAATGAATGAATCATTTAAATAGATTGTATTGTTTTCTGTTGTTACACAATGTCATGTATTAATAAATTCAGAATTATAGTGTACGAGATAAAAATACAGACTGAATAATAATAAAATAAAATAATTAAAAAATAACAACTTGAATTGATCACTAACCATAAATTTAAACAATAACATGGTCAGTAACAATTAGAACAAACTTGCCGACAGTAGCATGATGGCGCAACACAGAATTCAGAAGCAGCTGCTTTTTTCTTACAAATTAGTTCTTGACATTCTTCATCTACATATTCAAGTTCCCAATACCAGACAAGTTTCATCTATGGCATGGCCGACCAATATACACGCAAGAATGACATCTACACAAACTTCAACACACAAATTATTTACTTACAATTCAAAAAATAACATGTTTAGGGTTTTGAAAAACATCTGGCTGTTGTGCGATTTGATACAACTAAGAATCGGTCATGATTTCTCCATTAACTTATGGGATATGGACCATCTTTAGTTCCTGGCAAGTATTGATGCTCCAGTAAGTTTATTTTCAGGTTGATTGAGAAAATTGTGGTGTTCTACCCTATATTCTAACTGCTTTTTTTTCTTCTTCTTTTATATCAATAAATTATTCAAGGCAAGCCCTCTGATTCGATTCATCAAGGATGGTTCTCTTCAGCTAATGAAAATGGGATAAAGATTTTGGAAGATAATGACGGTATCCGCTTCCGGGGCATCTGAAACTGCAAAGGTACTTGTTACTCAGTTAGTATAAAATCTTGAGGTTCCATTTTTTCTTTACACAATCATGACCAGCTGTCCTTTGCTTTAATATTAAATACAATATCTCTAGTATCAGCAAACAATTGGACTTTACAGATAGGGTGGCCTCTGTTGTTGGCATCAGAGGAATGGTTTGTGAATTTAACTCCCTAAATGTGATTTGGAAATAAGTTCGTGTTTGTTGTTATCAGGTTACATGTCCATGGAAAAAATATATATCATACACACACACTCACATTTTCCATTAACTAGTTTTTGGACACGTCTTTCCCGTGGTAATTACTAATTAGCAAATCAAGGTATAATTTGTAGTTGTATATAGTCAAACTTTTTCACATTTTGTCTCAAGAACCAGATTAAATATGTGCATTTAATAGTTGTTCTATGTTCACTGTTTCAAAATCAATGCCTTTGATTTGATTTATATGAAATATTAGAAACAACCATAGTTGAAATAGCAAGGTTGCACCACTGGAAAGGTTTTCATTACTTTTATAAAAGTATATATAATTAAGAGAAAAAAAGTATAATAGTGAGTGCTTCTTAATTTATTGTCACTTATATAAAGAACAATATACAATTTGATGAATGTGCATATGCACTTTGTTCTTAACTGATGTCTGGTGCCCGTTTAAAGATCCGACTAATTCAGATTTGCTCATGAAAGTTTCACTATGATAGTAATCATTGACAGTTCTCTATTCCCAAAGTTCAAATTCAGAATTTTGTGAAGGGTGGAGGGGTACTGCCGACCCACCACAACATTTGATGGTAATACTAACAGGAAGTAACACAGAAGAAAATGAAAACAACTTTTTTAATGGCATTCCTTTGTTGTTTATTCTGGAAAATTCTTATATTAAAAGCTAATTCTCTTTCCTCCATTGTCTAAATACCTATTGTGAGATAAGACAAATTTAGATGAAAGTAAACTTTTCAAAGGTAATGCTTATATATAAAAAATATTTCTATTTTAATTAGAAGAAATTATTTTTCATGTTATTCTACACATTTCTTAGATTAATCTCACCAAATATTTTCCTTGTAGGCTGTAGTGATAGTAGGGCAGGTGGAAAGCAAGGTATGGGTGGTGTATTTATCTTCCACTTTTTTCCTGTCTATATTTTTCCAAATGATAAAAATGAAAGAGATGGAAGCTTATGTTTTTGCTTTTGCTGAAGAAGCTAGGGAGAGGGAACAATAATGGTAAATTTGTAGGGATAAGTCACGTGCATGACATATTTTCTGTTTGAAGCTGTTAGTTTTGACAGAAAACTAAGAGGGATGTAACTTGTAACTTCTAGGATAGTAAAAGGATGTTGTTTGTTCAATGTCATAATATGAGGATGTAGTTCAAGTTTGATTATAATTGAGAGATGTTTTTGGCCATTTACTCTAAATTGGTATGTAATGACTTCCTTGAACGGATGAAACCATTCTTTTTTATATTCACTACAATTTCAGTTTTGGAGGTAAAAATAGGCATGTAAGATTAATGGTATAATTATAACTTATCTAAGCACATATTACATTTTTTGACAAAGTAAATCAAAAGTTTAAGTTGTACTTCTCTGTGTGATTCTTACGATGTATATTTACATATTTACAAAACAAGGTAATTGTAATAATGCTTGGACGAAGGGTAAAACTGTCATTCAACTTTTGATGGCTATTTTGGTCTTTTTCCTTTTACCTTTTAAGGGAATCATTCCTCGTCATTGACGCCTCGCCGTTCTTCAACAACTTTAGGGTTCCAAATTGAACTTCAAATCAGTTGAATTAACTCCAAACAATGGCTTCGCATGTAAGTTCTTCTTTCCTTTCCAATTTTATGGTTTTCTTGTCTAATAGTAATCACTGTATTTCATTTGCTTATCTGTAATCATAGATTTTCTTTGTTATAAAGTGGTTGTAACTGTATGTTTTTCAATTTGCCTCTGCATCTCTTTTGATCTTTTAGTTCCTTATATCGTGCTTTGAATTCAATTTTGCATTTGAGCCGATGGTCCATCTGAAACCTCTCTACCTCCCAGACCCCAACTTTGTGGGATTGCGCTGCATATGTTGTTGTTGTAACTTTTAGGTTTGAGGCTTCCTACGTATAGAATAAGATAGATAAATAAGATGGATGGGTAGATAGATAGATACTCATTAGGTTTTCAAGTGGAGGACACACTAACATGTATTTACATTCTACTCGCTTTGTTAGAATGAAGATGCAGGAAATGTAATACCCCAGCTTAATGAAGAGCCTAATGATGAATCTAAGATGTGGAGGCTCACTAAAATTAGAGACTCATTGCAATGCCAGTCCCTGAAGCTTCCTGAAAATCTTGGAGTGACTAAGGTATAATTCCTATTTCTCTTGATTCATGAAATATCTTATTGTGTTTGTTATATCATTTTCAAGACTCGGAAACTTTTCCATTGAACATTCCGGTAGCGGATAATTCATGTATAAAATGAGATGGAGGACTTTTCCATTGAACAAGTTAAGGTTGGAAATTTTATGTTTCTCACGATGCCTTTGTGCAAGATCTGATATGATCAAGGCATGTGACATTAAAACATGCCATCGGCAAATAAAATTGTTAGTGTTAAGTTGAGTGGAAATCAACCATATGATCCAACAGTTTTGTGCTGCTCTTTTCATATGAATGTGACTTCTCCTGGTTGGGAGTGAAGGGTTCTTAGTGTTGCGTCCATTTCTTTTCTATCTTGGTCAGCGGATGTGATTCTATTGATGTGAAATTAAAATTCCAAAGAAGGTGATCTTTTAGAATGTCATGGGAAGCTTGAGGCCTCCTAAATGAGGTCTAGCACCTATACATTTTGTGTTTTACTCTCTTTTCTTTTCCGTAATAAATTTTTCAACTTACAGTAAAGAGGAGTGGATGTTCAAGTATCACTTTCTGCACCTTCAGAGATCCGTCTGTCGAAATGCTTCGAGATTGTCTAATCAAAGCAGAAGGCCTCTAAAGTTTGTGTGCAATGATTTGACAACTTTAATAGTGTCCAACTTTTGACTAGCAATAGTAACTAAACGTTTGCATGGTATTTCAAGTTCACGTCTTGAGTGCTTTCTACTGAATTGTAGCCGGGTTCCTTCCCCTTACCCCACAATTTTGAAGCTGTTGTGTTCCGACTTTCTCTGACTGCACAACATGGATGTGATATCAGATATTGAACCGAAAATTTCACAGTGAATTCTTACTAGGAAACAATAGTTGGCTGGAGAGTTTGTTTAGTTCTCAATATTTGTTCCCTGGTTGTGACTGTATTAGTTTTGATGATACAGTTTCTGGTTATGATTCAATTTGTTTACTCCAGATATCAAGTTTAATATATACGAGCTCTGGTAATTGTATCTTAGCATTAGCCTCAAATGCTATTCACCTGCTTTGGAAGTGGCAAGGAAATGAGCGCAATTCTAGGGGCAAGGTAAATGGACACCAAAATCGTGTCTTTCCTCCATTTTGTACAGAAGTGATTCTGAGAATTGTGTCAATCTTTGTTTAGGCAACAGCCAGTGTTTCACCACAACTGTGTCAACCTTCAAGTGGCATCTTAATGACAAATGATGTGCACGAACCAAACCATGTGGAAGCTGTCTCTTGCTTTGCTTTGTCCAAGAACGATGGGTATGTGATATCAACATCTGGTGGAAGGATGTCCTTGTTCAACCTGGTGGCATTAAAGGTATAACAAGATTGTCTTCTTTTTATTTAACCTTGACTCAAAGATCCTGTGCTGAATTATTATCTTATGGATGCAGAGATTGACAACTTTCATGCCTCCACCTCCAGCAGCAACTTATATTGTTTTCCTTCCTCAAGATAACAACATTATCGCTATTGGCATGGATGATTCTACCATCCAGATATATCATGTCCGACTGGGTGAGGTATGATAAAGATAAACAAGAATATTTTGTTCTTATTGGCAGTCATCAGAATTTCATGGCCAAGTACCATATATTGTTATTGACTAGATGTGAGTCTCTTGATGAAGGTTAAAAGCACGCTTAAAGGCCACTCTAAAAGGATAACTGGCCTCGCCTTCTCTCGTATGCTCAATGTGCTAGTTTCCTCGGGAGCTGATTCTCAGGTTAATGACTTATTTGCTTTAGCTATCATGTTGTATTTGACTTACTTCTTAGTGTTTTGTTAAACTGTTCTCACAATTAATTTGGAAAGTATTTGTGTATGATAGATTGCATTTTCTCTCTTAACAATTTTTCATATTGTGCATCATACACTCTCCATCCATTCAATGTTCAGCCAATCAAATAGGCAAGGGAATTAGAAGTAATTTCACTGCATGTCATATTTGATGATGATAAAGGTGAAAATTTTGAATAATCAAACATGAAGTTGTTGTTTTGGAAGTGTTTCAAGCATTTCGGAAGACACCAAAATCTAAACTATATAGCCTACAGATGAGCCAAGTATATTGCAGGTTATCTCCTTTTGCATAATCTCCTCTCTGCAGTTATGAATCGTGATTAGTTTTTGGATTTTTAATGTCTTTTACTGGTAACTAATGTTAATCCTACATCCACATCTCAAATGATCATTAATCTATAAAAAATTACACTGCATTTCTGACACTCTTTAAAGGGTAATTATTTATATTTCTCTTTTCTCTTTCTTATCCTTCTGTATACATCAACATCATCTGCTTTTGTACAGCTGTGTGTATGGAGCACTGTTGGGTGGGAAATGCAGAGGGCTAAATTTTTGCAGCTACGGGGGCAATCAATATCTCAATCAGATACCAGAGTCCAGTTTCATCAGGATCAAACTCATTTCCTTGTTGTGCATGAGGCACAGATTGCAGTATATGAAACAGCAAAGTTGGAATGTTTAAAGCAGGTAAGTCCTCTCCCGGACTACAGTTGGTTATTATATGCAGTCAGATCTCAACAACTAATACATTATATCTTCTTCTACAGTGGGTTCCGCGTGAAAGTGATGCCCCAATTTCTCATGCCACATACTCATGTGATAGCCAGCTTATATATGCTAGTTTCTTGGATGCAACTGTGTGCATCTTCACTGCTGGGAACCTCCATATGCAGTGCTGCATTTATCCTTCTGCTTATCTGTCACCCGGTATCAGGTATCTTCTGCAGCCAGTTAACTTATTTAGGGGTCGTTTGGTAGGGTGTGTAAGAATAATGCTGTCATTAGTTATGCTGAGATCTTTTAATATGCAATGTTTGGTTTGGTTCTTTAAAAATAACACGTATTGTAACACGTATTGCATTATTTTTTTTAAAATCGTTTAAAAAATTACCCTCTATCAATATGGCGGAAAGGACATGAAAAATGTTTTGACGGACAATTGTGTCTTTAACCATTCGAATGCAAGCATTAGAACCCCTTGCATTGCTAATACTATGAATTTCTATGTATTAGTATTATTTAACGCAATACCAAGTCAAGTGTTGTATTAGTTATACATGTATTGGAAGTGTATCAAAAAAGGTACTAGTAATACATAAAACTAAGACATGCATTATTTTTTCTAATGCACTTTACGAGACAACCTCTTACTGCTTTAATTTTAAAGATATTTTGCTATCCACTATTGAAGAGAAGAAAGCGCCATTTTTCTTGTAGTTAGACTTTCATGAGCTAAAATAGTGAAATTGGTATCAGAACAATATCAAGTCCTGAAGTCCGAACTGCTTCTTTTATGGAAAGGTTAAACCCCCCCACAAACTTGTCCATTGGTACAAATATATGAGCCAATGCATGGCTATGTTTGAACATGACGTACATTTAATGCATGCAAGAGGACTACGAAATTAACTATCCTAGACCATCTTGCTTTAAAAAATTGGCATGAATATTTCAAAAGAATTTCATTTTGCAATCATGTATTTGTAAAATCATGTTACTACAATGAAGTCGGGCATCTGATTGCCAGTATGAACATTTCTAGCATCACTGGAGTGTCCCTCGGAATATTTTGTTTCAGGCGTTTAATATTTTCAACTTCTCTGCATCCTCGTGTGCATACAATAAGTAAATATATGTGTCTGATATCCTCAAAGAAGTAATGTCAGGATACGTAGACACTTCACCAAACTGATTTCATCTCTGATATTTGAAGTAATTTTTCAATAACCTTGTCTTATTTTTGCAGCAATTTAAATATCCACCCAGTTGTAGTTGCAGCACATCCAGAAGATCCAAACCAATTTGCATTAGGTATGTCAGATGGTGGTGTTCATGTTTTTGAACCTCTTGAATCTGAAGGCAAATGGGGTGTCCCTCCACCAGTTGAAAATGGCTTTGCAAAAGGTGGGCCAGCTTCTCCAGCTATTGGAGCTTCAGGCTCCGATTAAGCACCAACATACAAAGAAACCTCTAAGCAAACAGTCTTCTGTCTTGTTTTTTTTTTTTTGGATCTTACCCAAATTTCAGTTCAGACTGGTCAAACATGAGCGGATTATGTAACGCCCAAAAAATTTGTGTTCTTTGACTTGGTTTTTACGACAATGTTATGCTTTTGTGTGTGACTGTGTGGTAATCCATTTGCTACAGAAAATAATTTAGCTCAGTACTCTTCAACAATTTCTCCTTTCAGCTATCTAGTTCTTGAGTTGTATTTTGGCAAGTGTCACCTCTCCAAGGGCGAGTTACTTTGACCTGTGATATTTACTCAACCTCAACTTGTTATGAACAGCAATATGTGTTGTTTCTTTGATATTCTGGTGACTGTGAGTAATTGTTTAAATCATTTTACCCTTACGATGGTGTTATTTGCACAAAAGAAGAACTTGATTGTCTGATTTGGCTCATAGAGAATTGGCCAGAGTTTTGTGAGAAAAAGAAAACTCTCATGCGCAATGTGATGATACAAACTATGAAACCTGGAGCACAGTAATAGAGTACTAGACAATGGACATTATAGAGTAACATAAAGCTAGTTTTGAATTTTGGCTTATGAATCTACAGAAATTCTCATCAATCATTAAACAAAAATACCTTCACATTTAATATATTGTTTATACTATAACTATTATGTATATTATTTTTTTTAATATCATTCTTTATTTTCATGTAAAATCAATAAAAATTAATATTATTACAAATAGAATTCATGCTTGATATACAATTCTTTTCTCTAGAATATATCACGGTAAAATATAATTAGTGGCAAAATTGGATTATTGTTACATTCTTAATATAAATATTCATTGGATAAATTTATTATTTTGGAAGTATTCTTTTATAGAAAAATATTAGAACTACATATAATTTATTATTTATTATTTTTTTACTATACATACGCAATGGGTATACGGTTTTATATTTGAATTATAATAGAAAATTCATTTATCATTGTTATATATTCTTTTATATAAATTAATTAGATAAAAGTTCATGGCATAAATTATTTTAAATAAAACACCTTTTGTTTAGTTTTTTTTTTTTATATATGTAAAATAAATTACTTTTATTTATAATACAAAATATAGTAATTTGTAGGAAAGTCTAATTGGGGTGAAATAAGAATAAAGAACAAAAATACATCCATATTCATCCAACAGCAACAAAATGATACAAAAGTGAAAGGCATTTCATATATAAACCTTACTGAAGCCGAAACCTAACCAAACCCAGAATTGGCCAAGTAGCATGACGGCGCAACACCAATGAAGCTTCTCCGTTATAGAGTAGAAGGCTTCATCTATGGCAGAATCACATCTACCCAAATCTTTTTCTTTACTAACCATTCAAAATCTAGGGTTTTTGTAAACACTGATGGGTGTTGTGCAATTTGATACAACAAAAAATCGATTTGTGGCAGCGGTGGATGATTTCTTAATCAAATTCTCCGATGTGGACCATCCAGTAAGTTTTATTCATTGAGAAAATTGTGGTGTTGTGTACACTATATTTAACTGCTTTTTCCTTTTATATCAATGAATAAATTATTTAATGCAATCCCGATTCATTTCTTTATTTAGCCTGTTTCTGCTAATGAAAATGTGATAAAGGTTTTGGCAAACAATAAAGGTATTGGCTTCCAGGGCATCTAGAACTAAATCTTAGGGTTCCATTTTTTTCTTTACACAAACATGAACAGGTGTCCTTTGCTATAATATCATGTAGCCTACAGTAAATCCAATATATGTAAAATCAGCAAACAAATTCTGGATTTGCAGATAAGTGGCCTCTTTTGTTGCTAATCAGTGGAATGGTTTGTAAATTCAACTCCCAAAGGTGTATGTCTAGCCTCACTCCAAAGGTGAGTGCCTAGCCTCTCAAAACACTGAACTTTGGCTATGGTTGTAAATATTTCACGTTTTTGCCTTATCTATATGAACTTGTAGCCTCCTTTTATAATTTCGTATTTATCAAGAAGTCGTTGAATTACAGTAGAAACAATACAAAAATTAAATCAATGTATGTCTGCCTTAGAATGAATGCTTAATAGACTGTTGTCAAGTTAATATTAACACATATGCAAGAAGTGTTTGTAATTTATTATAAACATATAGTTAATAATTACTGAATTTTAAAAAACAATAATTAATGATATCTTCACTGTCTAAATGGCGTCTGCCTACAAGTAAATTACATTGAGATTTGCACTATAGAGAAGATTAAGCGGAAAGTAATTACCACTTTAGGTTTTTGGTGTAAAGAAACGAACATAGAAGAAGAAATTCAACTAGTGGATTTCATAGGAGCTTTGTAAGTAGTCCCATTTTTTTTGTTGGTTTTACTATGTAACTTAACACTTTTGGAGGTGGACAGCATAGCCCTTAATGTTGAGGAATACGATGTTACCGGTTTCCAAAAAAAAAAAAATTACATTCAATTTTTTTTAGCTCTTCTAATAATCTTAGAATCAAGAAAACATGAAGGGATATTTGTAGAAATCCTTAAACTCAAGAATGTGCAAAAAAATAGAAAGTAGTAAATAGCTAAAAAATGAGATGCAGCTTTAGTATTTTCAAAAAAAAAAAAGTGATACATTTTTAGCAATAGTCATGATTGTGAATGGACCATGCAACAATATTGCTTGAAGGACATACAATCTACAGATGATGAAGTAACCATAAGAGGAAACATTTTTACCAAATAACACAAGCAGAATACCTAAGATACCACAAAAAGCTTTATTCTCAACCCCCCTTTTTTGTTTGTAATCACTACCTTTAATATAATCGCATCCGGTGACCAAGATAGAAGAGACAACACAAAATTAAGAGCCAAGCAAGATCCTGTATGAAAAGATAAGCACAACACTGTTGGATCACATGGTTTATTTACAATCAACTTAACACTAGCAGTTTCATTTATTGATAACATGTACGGATGCCACGTGGCTTTATCATGTCATATTGTGCACAAAAGCGATGTGAGAAACATTGAAATTTCCAACCCTAAAACCTGATGGAGGATAATCTATGGTTTAATATGCATAAGATGGTATCTTTAATGAACAGTTTTTTCTCTCATTTTGTACATGTATTATTTCCTATATCATC